AAGGAGTGGCTTCACAACAACTCTGTGACTGTTCTTGAATGGCCCAGCCAGAGCCCTGACTTAAACCCAATTGAGCATCTCTGGAGAGACCTAAAAATGGCTGTCCACCAACGTTTACCATCCAACCTGACAGAACTGGAGAGGATCTGCAAGGAGGAATGGCAGAGGATCCCCAAATCCAGGTGTGAAAAACTTGTTGCATCTTTCCCAAAAAGACTCATGGCTGTATTAGATCAAAAGGGTGCTTCTACTAAATACTGAGCAAAGGGTCTGAATACTTAGGACCATGTGATATTTCAGTTTTTCTTTTTTAATAAATCTGCAAAAATGTCAACGATTCTGTGTTTTTCTGTCAATATGGGGTGCTGTGTGTACATTAATGAGGAAAAAAAAATAACTTAAATGATTTTAGCAAATGGCTGCAATATAACAAAGAGTGAAAAATTTAAGGGGGTCTGAATACTTTCCGTACCCACTGTATATATATATATACACACACACACATTTTTTTTATATGAAAAAGCAATTTAAACATTATGCTAATACAAGTCTGTCCTAAATCTCATTCTTTTTTCCTTTGTCTTTTTTCCTCCCTGGGGCATATGACTCAGGTAGCAGCATGGAGACAGAAAAGCCTTCATGCAAGTGGACGACTTACAAACACCCTGCTGTCAGCGTGCTACTCCATTTGTGACAAGAGTCAAAGCACAGTGTGGAAGGGCCACCTGCTGCATGAAGATCACATCATTCCATGCCAGGCGGACAGGTGAAAGAGGAGAGTCAACAACACCCCTCTGTTATCTGCTTGTGTTTAGTAGAACAAAAAGATGTATGAAGCTCCCAGCACTAACAAATAAAGATTCATTACTACAGTATTCGCAAACAAATTATTACCCTAGAGAATGGATAGGACACCTACACCGCATCAGTATTCAGTAACCAACTAGAAATAAATAAGAGAGAAGCTGATATGTGGAGTTTTTAACAGCATACACAAACCATCATCTGTTATTCTCATTTATAAAAGTCATAATTTGAAGAGGGATTCCAGGAGGCGGGGGAAACTAGCATAAATGAGACAGTATTCCCAGAAGGCTTAGGATGAGCTGTAACACAGTGTGTGGGTGTTTGGGTAATTATCCAAAGGAGTCTGCTGTTTTTGTTAACATTTATGAGTGTCTAGCTAGCTGCTGGAGCAAGAGAGAGAGAGAGACATTTGACAATAAAGATATTTGACAGGACAAATCCAAACAAGAAAACCTGAGAGACACCTGAGTTCTGTAAATATCTATTCGATCTTCCTCTTATTGTTATGTGTTGTTTACACCACAAATGCATTCACACTTAGACCAGATGCATTTGCATTAATTCAGAGAGGCATATGCATACACAAACAAACATGCACGTGTGCATGAACACACAGAGGCACAAATGATTTCTCTTTTCATGTCAGAAATGTTTATAGGTGTGCTATGCACACTGTAATCAGATGCGGATGAGAGGGCTTCCTGCCAGTCTGTTTGTGAAGGAGTTAAATGGAGTGATGGGTTGAGGTGGAGCGTAAAAGAGAGAAGGAAAAGGAAGAAAAGGAAAGAGTCAGAATGAGGCTGTGACACGTGTGTCAAACTTTGTCACAGTCGAGCTGTGATTGAGGCTTCGAAGCTGCCCTGGATATCCAAACATTTATTTTCAGTGAGCAGCAGAAAGCTGAGGAGAACATGTACACATCCAGCATAATGTTTTTTTAGGTGCTTTAAGATAAAGATCAATCTCTAAATCAATCTGTTGGCTTTTAGTAACTACATTTCAATAACTTTCCAAATGGAAAGCATGACAGGTTTAATATCCCTGCTACCTGACAGATATAACTGAAATTGGTAACCAAAGAGGGTATTTACAAGTTGTCACTTGATGCAAATGTAAATGCCCTCTAAAACTAATTCAAACTAGAAATTACCATCTGGAGATTTTTTGAAAACAAGTTAAAAAAAGAAAAAGAAAAATAAAAGCTAACAAAGAGAGGCCCTCAGGAGGTGATTCGATATGCATACAAGACACAAGACCAAGTGTATCTGTTTAGTCAGGCCACATTTTTTCAACTTCAAGGCTCATTCACACCCAATACCCAACACACTATAACTTGGAAGAGCAATATCATTGATAATGATTTAAGAATAATTTTTGTCCACAACAGCCAATCAGAATCCACCTAACTACAAAGAGCTTGAGCATTTAAAGAAGTAATAAAGTTATAGTTAATATTGTTATAGTTATGTCTATAGTTATTATTTGTGGTTTGAACAGGCCTTTACTCCTTCCAAACAAAACTACGTCAGAAGTTTGGGAGCCTGCAAGTCATTTATATCTGTTTTGAAGAGAATAATTTAAGAAATTAAGTGCGAATGTGCATACTCAATCGGATAGCAAACCGGTCCATCAAAATGCAGGAAGAGACCAAGTTTAAACACCACCTAATCACAGTCTCAATGACAGTCCTAGGCTGTGTAAATATAATAAATAACTAAATAAATACATGTAAAATGTACATTCATGTAAAGCAATATATAATGTATAGAAAATCTCAACTGATTGATTATAATGTCGCAAAATGCAAACCTTATTATTGTCCAGCTCTAATCTGCTAAATGCATGAAGATATTAAGATATTATAAATAAATAAATCAATCAGTCATGGGAGACATTTTTTATCCATCAGAAACACTCCTTGCCTGTGAATCATTTTGCATCCAAGTTTGCTGACATTGGTTCATCTTGTTTCAAAATGCAGAAGTTAGAAAATTTTCTAAAAAAAATATTCACTTGTGTATTTGCTGTAGTAGACCATAAAACGGATTGTGACCATAATGAAATTGAAGTAAGGTTCTGTGGTTGGAAGATTCACAATTGTGGTGAGTCCCATCTGGTCTGGGGCTCTCCTGAGACAGTACAACCAGAGAGGAGGACTGAGGTTACACCACTGTACCGTAAATACAGCTGACACACTCATTTACTGCAGCCATCACTGCTGTTCTCTGTAGGCAATCACACACATGCCTCTCAGTGACAACGTTATTTGTTAATGAAAAAAAGTCCATCCGGGCTTTGTTCTTTCACTGAAAGAAAACACCAGATGTAACCCTCCACCCTCAGAGAAAAACACAAAGAACAATAATTAAATCAATGCTAGTGCAATTTCTTCTGTCTCTTAAAAGGGATCAGTTTTCAGCCAGTTAATAACCACATTAGATTTATTAAATAGCCAAGTGGTCTAAAGTCCAAAACCAAGCCTGAGGTTTCCTGTTTTATATGTGAGCTAAACCAAACAAGAGCTAATGAATGCAGCTTAGCTTACAGACACTTTGCTTGACTGCAGAACAAGGCCACTCTACTGTGCTGCCATACTGAGACAGGTCTAATACACCACCCACATGCACAGCTAGCCAAAAGTCCTGGAGTTATATGACACAATAAATCTAATGAGAACAGTGAAACACAAATTACACTTCAATTCCAACAGGAAACTCCCAGCACTATTCACCTGTCAATCTCCCACTCAAACTCCTCTCCCTGTGTCCGAGGTACTTCCTGCAGCCATGGCAGCTGTGGGAGAGAGAGGCCTCTGTGACTGGCATCTGTACTCCTGGCTCAAACTGCTAATTACCTCATTTTACTAGTAATTAGCTGATTAAAATCAGCATTTAAGACCAGTGTCAGGGCTTCCGGAAACCGCACGTTATAGAGACAGGAAGACAGCTGCCAGCTGTAAAAGACAGGGAAAGACTGATTGAAGCAGAGCTGAATGCCAGCGATGTGCTTTTTACGCATACAGAGTGGTAAGATCCGGGGTAATTGTCTGTTAAATGATCAAAATTGGACCCCACTGTGAGTCAGATGTCAAATAATTCAGGAAATATATACACGCCTCCTTATCTGTTCTGTATCTATAAAGAGATGACAATTACTACAATGCTGCAAAATGCTGAACTGAAAGGGGTTTGCAAAAATGTTGCTATTCAGCATACTAACAAATCCCCCATAGAGGCGATAAATGAAAAAAAATAGGAACAGGTGCTTTTAGGTTTTTGAGTAACTCAGTTTTAAGTCAATGAGTATCTGGAGCCCCACATATAACGTAGATAGCATTTTAGGACAGTTTCAAATAAAATTTATCCTAAGAAATTTTATCATAGCAATTATGCGCGTAGTTACCAATTATGGTTCCTTATCTCTAAATATTAAATATCATTATCATGGCTTTAGAACTATTTTTTTTTCAAAGGGGGCATTAAAATTAATAAAATGAATTGATCTTAATTATAAAAAAATATTTAATTGCAATGTACACGACAAAAAAATAAAATTCATTACATTTGGATATGTTGACAATTTGGAAATTGACAATACTTTGGAATATACACTCTCAGAAAACAAAGTTACAAAATCTGCCACTGAGGTGGTACCTCCAGTATATCAGGGCTTGAATTTCGGCGTGGTATTGTGCATAATTGTGCATAATGTAAAAAAATGAGAAAAAACAGGAACTGGAACAATGTATCATCTGCACATATTTTTAAATCCTGTGCTGTGTGTAAGTTATTGCGCAACAAAATTATCCCATAGCACCATAGAGAGTTGTACGCTTTCAAATTTCTGCAAGAATCTTCAACATCTAATTATATAAATTGTAAAAACAAAAATACATTAAGAAAACATTTAGGTGAAATGACTGTAATTTTTTATATGTCAATCAACAGTTGCAATAGAAATCCATGGTAAATGTTCATATGTTCACACTGCTGTCTTAGTGTGATAAGATAATCTCATCAAAATGACATCCTTCTAACATCAACATTAATAGAGGCTCAGGCCAGATCCTCCACTTGGCCTGGTTATCACACCCTCCTCACCTCTCCATGTTATCCCCTGTCCTTCCACTGGTCACTGCTTCTCAAAAGGCCCCTGAGGTGCTGCTGTGCTAAACCAACCTTAACAAAGCCTCACACGCTACCATGATAGAAGATGCTTAGAGCATTTATCTCCAAATCACAATTTTTAGGTATTTTTCAGCTGCTTCTGAATCCCAGCTGCCAGCTTGACCGATACGCTAAAGCCCCATAAGCTCTTGCCTCCAGCTGGACTCTACATTATGAATGATCTTGCCTTCCTGCTGCAGGGTTGCCTTGGAGATGAGAACAAATCTGCACTGGGCACACAGCGATATTCAAATGCTCCCTCTGAAGCAGAAAAAGAGAAAATATATTGTTTCTCTTGACACTCTCACATTCACGTGTTGCACTTGTATGAATAGGATGGAAAGTGAAAGGCACTTAATTCCTTGTTAAGATGAATAAACATAGAACAGGAAACATGTTGGCAGATTCCAGCACTGCTGCTTTCCATCAAACGAGAGGTCAGCCCAAAACTGTGGTAAAACACCATTGTTTAAACTGCAGAACAGTACTAAGAAAGATATTAGAGTGATAAATAATATAACACAGTGAATCTGAAATGCTGGGTGAAAACGCTTGGTGTCAACATGTACCACCAATCATATCAGAATATCAGAACTATACCACCTAGTTATCTATATTTACTCTATATGTTTTAGCTCTAGGCAAACAGCAATCTCTTTGAGTGCAAGCTTGTGAGTAACATACACATAACACAATATTTTGTATTAAATATCAATTTTCCTAGAGTTGAGATAAATCATGCTGCTGCAAGAGCCTCAAAAGTCCTTTGACAGGCATATTGCAGATATGAGCAAAAACCCTAAAACTCAATACATACACCAAAGTAACATTTAGAGGTTTTTTAATCCAGTTAAATAATCATTTTGCATTTATTATGACATCAATTTATTTATAATATAATAATGAAATATATTTAGCTAAAAAAAAACAAACTAAAATAATACAAAAAAAACAGAAAATAATAAATAATACAAAAATACAAACAATTTTTCTTTCATTAATTTGATCAAAATTTACAGTAATATATAAATGTTACAAATGTTTATATCAAATAAATTATGTTATTTTGAACTTCTATTCATCAAATAACCCTGAAATAAAATGTATCATGGTTTCCACAATAAATAAATAAATAAAGCACCAACTACAGTTTTCAACACTGATAATAAGACATGTTTTTAATATGGACCAAATCAGAGTATTAGAATGATGTCTGAATTATCATGTGAAACTGAAGACTGGAGTGATGGCTGCTGAAAATTCAGCTTTGCCATCACAGGATTTTTCAAATATATTCAAATAGTAAAAAGCTCTTTTAAAGTGTAATAATATTTTACAATACTATTGATTTTACTGTATTTTTTATTAAATAAAAGCAGCCTGGCTTAGCATGAAAGATTTATTCGGTAATGCAAATTAGATATGAATTTGAACAACGTTTATATTTTTGTAAATTTCTAGGGTTGTGTTGTCTACAGCAGTTTGAAAACTACTGTTGTACACAGTCAATAATGGGATACTCTTTAGGGCACTCGTTCTCCTCCCTCAGGATAACACAATCCTGAACTCCAGCAATATACTGACAGACAGAAAGAGCAGAGAGAAGCCAGAGAAAGAGTATCTCAGAAACCGAACAGACTCACTCTACCAGGAAACACACCACTCCTGGGACATATACGCAAACAAAACACACACACTCTCTGGCAGTGCTCCATAGAACTCATCCTTACAACAACCCCAAACACTATAAAATATTAATCCAGGACCTCAGGTTCAGTTCTCAAAACATCTGAAACAATATCAGACTCAAATATAAAAGAGATTATTGAATCCCCAAGTCTCACACTGACAGGTAAAATTCTCAAAACAAAAGACAGGAACCCAGATTATATTAATAATCAGAAAAAGCAAACAATTTTCAGCCTAGTCAACTGGACCAGCAGGAGGGAGGCAGCTGAAACTCCATGCATGCCCTTGAGAAAGATTGTGGGAAATATTAAAGGAATGTTTAGGAGTACAGCATATGTGTGGTGCAGGGTAAATATCATAAGGGTCATGAGGAGTTGAGAGTGATTGAGGCCGTTCTGAAAGTAATATCACTGCAGTCTCTGAGCGGCCCATAGGCATCAGATTAATCACATGGTACTCAGAGAGAAGCACATATGAGGCTGGAATCTGTCAGTGGAAAGGTTAATGAATGCAAAAGCAGAGAGGAACATGGGAAAAACACCACCGAAAAGTAATTTCACAACATGCATGCTCCATGTTCCTCCCTGCAGTCAGTATTGGCCTATAAACATACATACGTTCAATATCATTGACCTTATCTTAAACAGAACTGGCCTCACTGATCTTTCATGGCTTCTTGATGGTACCCTACACTGCACTGCATCAGAGGGAGACTAGATTTATTACTTCCTGTAATCCTACATTAAGAAAATTCATGCTTTGAATTCTCTAAAGCACATTTGTGTGTCCTGCTTCTATCATACTAGCAAAAAAGCAGAGTGAGGATGATTTACACATTACTTTTAACATGATTTTTTACAAAACTGCTGCAATTCAGTTTTGTAAAATAATACCTTCAGGAATGCCCTCACATCCAAAAACAAACAAACATACAAAAACTGCACTTGTGAGGAGTATTAGATGATGGCACTGCCATCTAATTGTAAAAACAAGATAAATGAGCATGCACAATTAAATAAACAATATATTCATATATTACAACAAACAAACCACCTGACATTTAATTAGGGGTGTAAAAAAGAAAAGAAAACCAGGGGTGTAAAATGCATCAATGTATTGTGATTCATCAATGTCAAAGAAAATGTACTTTTAAAAAAAGCATTGATTAAAATTACTATAACACTCCACTCAAATGTAATATAATGTATTTTTTTAGTTGTAAAAATCCACCAAATCCAAATATTTCTGGAGTAGATGCATTAATATAGCATACATTTTGTCCCTCCATTACTTTGGTGTGTTCAGCGTACTTCAGGAAATGGAACCATACCAAAGGACATGTGACCAAATTTCACAATTCACCAAGACATTTAGCGAAAAAAAGCACACATATACAGTACACCCCTAATGAAAACTAATAATTGATGACGAGCAGAGATAGGCCTCTCTACATGCTTTCAGTCCCTCCAAACACACAAAATGAATCTAAATCAATTCAGACAAACAGGACACAAACAAGCTTTAATAATTCATGAACCGGGATCCAGGTTCATTTTAACCACAGTTTTAAGGAGATCATTATTGTCGCAGATCCGTGCAAAGTCATAGATCCATTAAAGGGTTGCTTTGCTGATAACAGGCGTGTCAATATCACTACAGTCTACAGGCCTGCACACATGAGAATGAATGTCAATCAATGTCCTTTCAAGTTCATTCAACCGGTTTTTAATCAAGGTCATCTTTTCATAGGTGTGTGAAATGTCTACTGTCCTGCTGTGCATTACTGTGTTGAAGATGAGACTGTTTAATAAACCTCAGTCCATGTGAATACTGTGCTCTCCTGCCATTTTCGTTTCTGCAATAAATTAATGTGGCTACTACCCCCCCCCCGTCAGACACCTTTAAAAGCTGATTAATTCCCCCCTCCGCTAGGTATGCAGGAGGAGAGCCTCATCAATCTTTCTCTGCCTTGACAGCGTTCAACTGTGCCACGCTTTCCCGTGTTACAGGACTGAATGGACAGAGTCCTATTGATAACTCAATCATCATCACTGGCCCATGTGAATGGAGACACTTGCCCCCATGAGGAAAGACTGTGGAATTCACCGGCTGATCGGCAATCCCCTGGCTGAGATCTGCAGAGCCAGGTTCAATGACAGTCCCTGAAGTCAAGAGAAAACACTCCGGATGACACACTTGCCAGCCCTGTACACTTCTTTGCTTTCAATGCTGTAATAGGCTACAGCTGAGAGGGATTCCTCTCGAATCAGCCAGTCTTGAACCCTTTACAAGATCTGTCCATCAGACCACTTCTACATTTCCTGGACTGCAAGATACCATATGTGTGCAAAGTGTTTACTGTAGATTCATTAACAGCAGAGGCAATTTAGTCAAATGCCCAGGCGTTTTGAAGTAAAGCATGGAATTTGAGGACGACTTCCAGAGGATTCCATGCATGTGCGCGGTGTGTATGAGGAAATAATTTGTGCAGATAAACAACAAACTACTCAAGCTTCCGTTACCTCGTGCTGATGGAGTCTGGGGTCTGTTGCTAAACTACAGTACTTCATCTCGGCCATAAAATGCCGTGTTTACCTGAATCCCACAGAGAGACATATCTATCTCATGCTGTAACTCATCTCATTCTTTGATCTAGACTTGTGTACTACTAAGAGAAGGCCAGAGAGATCATACAGAAAAAAAGAGAAAGAGACTCATAGAGTGAGAGACAGATAGTGAGAAGAGAGAAAGATAATCATCTAATGAGATCTTGATCTCCCCAGAACGACAGTCCAGAGATGAGGAGAAATATGACATTATGTGACCACTATACAAATAATACAAAAGGCATCAGAGGAAATAAGCTGAATATATAATTTAATATAAAATATAAAGAGCATAATCATCAGGCTTAAAAGAACAAGTCAGGACAACAGCAAAACATGCCACACCCAAATAGGAAAAACATCAACATTGGTATATTTTCAGCTTAAGTGTTTTTACTAAATCTCAAATAGTTTAAAATAATAATGCATCACATCTGAGCAGAGTTAATATGTTGCTCCAACCCATAGTAAACACTTCAGTGATACAAGAATCAGACAAGCATGTTCAGAGCAGTGTTGGCAGTTTTGATGATATGGTGAAAAATTGTGGTGCAAAGGTTAGTTAATGGTATAGTTAACTGAAAAATAAAACATCTGACATCATTTATTCGCCTTCATGTTGAATTGTTGAGCCTGTTTGAATTCCTTTCTGTTTTACATAAAATGTAAAAAGTGACCCTGTGCAAATGAGATGTTTAGTATATTGTTTATGCTGTTCTTTTCCATTCAATGACAGTGAATGAGGAGCTGTCAATGACATTTGATATCTACAATAGAAGGGAAAATGATGACTTAAAATAAAAATATAGTGCACAAGTCATATGGACCACTGATTAATTTTTTTTTGGTCACCATTCACTTTCATTGAATGAAAAAGAGCAGTGTAAACATCCTGCCTAACATCTTCTTTTGTGGTCTATGGAAGAAAGAAAATTATTTAGAATTACATGAGGGTGAGTAAATGACGACAGAATATTTTTTAACGTACAGAGCATTGTCTGCCATTGAGTGAACCACTGAGAGCAATTGTCTGTGTATGCATTTGTCTTACGCGTGTGATTTTGTGTCAGGGTATGGATTTAACAACATCCCACCCATTTTGCAATCTGTAAACTTGTACATTCTCCATTAATGCTCCCTCCGGAGCCAGCCCATCCCACAGAACAAGAGGCATGAAAAATTCAGCCAGCGTGCCCAATCCCTGCTGCAATTATGCATGAGCAGAATGGCTGGCTGAACAGAGCAAAACCCAATGCATATACTTTACATTCCATTCCCATTCCACTGACTGCCAGGCTGGATCTGTGCATGCTCCGCTCAGACGTTCACACTGTCTACAGAGCACTACATGACAGGCAATCAGAAGCCCACCAGCTCCCTCCTGATAGTGCTCGCTGTGATAATGCCTTAGCATCACACAACCGAACAAATCCTCAGCAAAATTCAGACAGGGCAGAGGGCAAAGAGGAAAATTAGCCTCTGTAAGTCTAACATATATGTGCATGTCATGTACTGGTAACGGTATATTACGAATGGAAGAAAGAAATCACTAAAGACTTTGTGCCTTCGAAAATAAAAAGGCGTAACAATATATTCACAACTGGGGGTTAATAAACATAATAATTCAAGAATTAAATGATGCACAATATAACTATTATTGGCCAATATTAGATATATTAGTTTGTTTTTTTTTGATTGTACATGTATTTGATTTTACATGTTCATTTCCTCTACTTTTACATTCAGAATGCCTTTGCCATCATCTAATGCTGAGTTAACGCAGCACTATGTAACTTTTTCTGTGTTCAAAATTAGCAAAATGTATATAATGAGCGAGTACATCATGAATTCATCTTCCAAACCGCGTTTTTGTCTTATTCCGAATCACTATGGTACACTTATAATAAGTACTTATATTTGGACTATTGTAGCCTGGTCGGGTCGTCACCGCTGCGGAGTAACACATACCTGCGTGAATCGCCATAGACATAAACTTAGAGAAGTAGCTCCGGTTGGAATGTTCTTCCGCGGGATGTGTGCAGTTCTGTTTATTAACCGCTAGAGCGCCAAAAGTTACATAGTGCTGCTTTAAGGTTAATCTTTAAAAACGCTAATAATTTAATTAACACTGTTAAGTGTAATCTTTAGCAAATCTCAAAATGAACATCCATTCTTCATACTGAAAATAAATTACAAATTTTTATTAAATTTTTAGTTTTTAGCAGTTTAATAATTTATTCAGACAAACTAATACACGAAAACACTACATGCTTATTAGTATACTATTATTCATTTCTTACCACCAAAGAAAGTGGTCTTTTCCATGACACCACTCCGATCAGTCCAGACAAAAGCACCTGAAACAAAAAGAAAACAGATTTTTGAGACTAAAGAACAGAGCAGCACGTTCAACGTCAACACTGTCAAGAGAAATCACTTCTCAAGCATTAAAGGAAACAGAAGGAAGTGAGCTCCATCACAGGTGACTTTATCAATATTTCATGTACAGGGAATGATATGGTCATCAGGATGGCAGGGAGGAGAATTCTGTAGATATGCTGTTGAAAAAAAATAGCAATAACATTAACTATTTTATATCCTCCGCAGTTCTTGTTTCTTTCTGTTCTCTGTCTTTTTCTCCTTCACCCTTCATTAACCAGCAGCACTCCATTCAGTCTCTCTCTCTCATGCTCCTTCACCCTTTAACCTCTCAAGTCCAGCAGGCCTCTCTCCCTCATTCACACTTTTTACCCATGGGACCTCGGTGCTGCGCTACAATCACAGTGCCATCTCACATAAACCAACAGGAGCAGAGCATTAAATCCAATTGGGAATGAAACGTTAGCAATGAAGCTGATGCTGTCAGCAGTTTATAATGTAAAATCAGTTTATGAATAATGCTACAGATGGAATTAAAACACTTAGGTATATATAGTGCTTCATATGTAGGAGGTGAATGCTGACTTATTCTCAGTCACTGAAATGTGTTTGCTGGCAAAAGAGAAGATCAGTGAGATCAGTGAGACTGAGGAGTCGATCGAACTGAAGATTATAGGATTATGCCATCGTGTGCAATCACACACCACTATGGGATTAACAACCACCAACATAAAGGAAAAGTGCAAAAAACAAAGAAATCTGATCAATGTGTAATTCAGAAAGAAAATATCAAAGAGAAAACTTTTGTAAGGTATTGTTAAGCATGATTTGGTCTGCTAATTGGTCTGGCCAAGTCTCCAAAAAATAAAAAATAAAATAAATAAATAAATAAAAATAAATAAAATACAATAACAAATCAACATTATATTAGAGCAGTAATGCTAGCAAAACATAAAACACAATGCCTACTGTATTTTCAGAAATTATGCATGGGCCAGTAAGACATTTCTTCAACACAAATAAATTTTTTTATAACAAATATGACATGAGATTATGTTTTATGAGAGAGAGTGCGTGTATGACAGATGTTCAGAGAGATGATGTGAGAAACGGTTCACATTGTATTTGCTCTCTTGAATTATTGATCCTCTTTCAGAAGCAATTGAGAGGGAGAAAGAGAGGGAGAAAACTAAACCAAGCTGCTGAGAAAGAGTCAGTTAAAGATAAGATTGAATGAGAGGAAAAGCCTGGCTGGTGTATGTGTGGAAAGATCAGCGGCACAAAAGAGCTCACTGAAAGGAATATTCAGGCGTTTTGCAAAATCAAATCCTATAGATACATCGCTTCTTCTGTTACATGACAACTTTAATTTTTAAAAAATAATTTATTAAATAAATGGATATTTCTAAATATTTTCTAGTTACAATGTCCAATCTCATGATGTAACAGAAGTTAAGGTCTAATTTAAAGGGGTGATTTCATACTTTATATTGTATTATATTAATATATAATGTTAGCCGTTTTTGTGGATATTTTTGCTGATGTTCTTCTGATAGTTACATTTACATTCATGCATTTGGCAGACAATTTTATCATCTTACAATTACATTCAAGGTACTCGTTTAATCAGTTATTATTTTCCCTGGGAATTGAACCAATGGCCTTGGTGTTGCTAGCGCCATGCTCTACAGAAAGGCGCATTATAAATAAAACAGGCCCTCCATCATGAACAGATAGCCAACTATTTTTACCTTTATCTGACTCGGGGTTTATAAAAATGTAAATTTATGTACTGAGGGATGAGTCAGAATGTTTGTCTGTGGTAAATGACAGCAAACCACAGATACTGTCAGAAACACACACACACACACACTCCTCACGGACAATGCCTATTAAAACCTGCTACCGCTTGAACCCTCCAACATCGTATGAATCTCCATTGACAACTATCCCTTATTATTCTTATCTCTGTGCCTGAATTTAGTAAATTTTTAGCACACCAGGAGAGCAGGTTTATTAACATGCTGTAGAGTGAGTTGGGCAGCAGAGGGTCAAACTGTAATACTCAGGTTTGTTGGACAATGCATAGGAGGAGGATATAGTTTAGGATAGAAGTTATGCGGCTTAACCTTTTTTGGCTTTATTTGAGAAGTGTGTTAAATGACAGTCATAAAACATCTGCAGCCATCAATCCCATATTCCCTACTTCTCCAGAGGTGCAGCAGAGTACATATTATGCCCTGGGTGGGGAGTCTTGCTGGTGATTTCCTGCCTGTGCGGTTGAATCGTTTTTTTTTTTTTGGAAAGAGCCAACGATAGCAAGCAATAATGAAAGAAGGATTTCACCCTCGGCTGCGCTCTCAACAGGATTAAGACGCACCACTCACCGACATTAGCCACTAAAGCCTTTTAGCTCAGTCAGCAGCGCTATGAGAGGAGAGAGAGCCCTTCAGTCAATTACCAGGGTACTGCTGCTCCGTCTAATATATGTACATGTCGTACAGCCCATATCGCAAACACCACAAATGACAACTTGACTCTAAGGACCAGATTCAGCTCAAGTCCAGTCTGCTGAAACTAGACTATTAGGAAAAATCTGAGGGAGCACAAACTGTCAAACAGTGCTGGACCAAACACAGTGCGCTTTGAGAAATTGCTCTTGGCTGTCAAAATCAAAACTAAACTTGTAGTGGTTTGCATATTGAGTGTGGTCTGCAGAGTGTACGGGTGTAGTGGGCGACTGGCTGCTTGAGGGATGCACACACTAAACTGTTTGCACAGCAGTGATATAAAGCAACCCCCCTCCCCTAACACAGAAAGAGAGGTTGAGAGAGCGAGAGATACAGCATTTGAACTGAAAACTACAGGATGAGCTCAGTTAACAAATTTTTGTTATAAAAACGCTGTTTTGAAATAATTCTAAAATGTCGAAACGTCCAGTTTTCTTGTTTGTGATTATAAAAATATTTAAAGGTTACAAAAATGTTTCTTACAGCATTCTACTTACTTTATTTTTACCCCAAATTACATTATTTGAACGTTTATTTTTAATATTCTAAGAACATTAAAATGCCCAGTTTTCTTGTTGTGATTAGAACATTATTTAAAGGTTACAAAAACATTTCTTAGAATGTGCAAGTACAAATAACAGCATAAGGATGTTGCGAGTGTCACAGGTTGTGTTGAAGCAAGGCAAAGGAGACAGCAGGGAAACTCCAAACTCTCAATTTAATAGTGGACTCAAACTTAGGCAGATACACAAGGGAAACCACAACTTAGTATAACGGTGACTGAACAACAAGTGACAAAAAGGGAGCAACTTAAATACAAAGACAGATCAGGATAATTAACTAAACACAGGTGATTCGAGGTAAACTAATGAGGCTAAACGAGATCAGGAACATAACCAAATAAGGGCACACAGGAACTAAAACAAAACAGAAGATGGGAAAACACCGAAACAAGGGGTGCTTCTCAAATGGAAGGCTGCATCCTCCAAAGGTTGCATATCTCGGCTGCCACGTCATCAAACGTCACTGAAGGCCATCTCAGTCGCAAGGATCCTTGGAAGGCAGCCTTCGTTTCGCGTCCTTCATTCAGCTGAATTTGAAGGATGCATGGGATGTATCCTCCGCGACCTTCAATCACCCACAATCCTTTGTACCCATTCCATTTCATGAAAATTACTGAGTACAGTACTGAGCTTGTCCGAATTTATTATGCAATGTAAGACAAAAATAATGTTTTCGGACATGAAAGGATAGATGTTATATTTTGTTTTGGTGTAAATTACTTACTAAACGCTAAACTGCCAATAATTTAAGCCACGGGGAGAGACTAGACGACTGGGATTGATTGTATTGCATTAATAGAAAGCAAAATAATATAAAGATTTGTAATACAAAGTATTTTTCTAAAACTAAGTTTTATTAGTGTTTTTGTGCCGTGATGATGAGGGTGGGAACATATGTGACATAGCCACGCGCACTTACTTGTCTCATTCTAGCGTTTAATGCCGAGGAGGACTCAAGCCTACAAGACTCTGAAGGACTGAACTAGGAAGGACGCAGCCTTCCGTTTGAGAAGCAACCCACGTGTCCATAAAAACTAAAATGGTGACAGTGAGAATGTTGATCTCAGAACATATTTACTCACCGTGTTTTTTGATAGATAGATAGATTTAATGGTCCATTAATATGTTTTTTTTTTTGTTATTTTGAGGAAGAAATTCAGTTCCGCAGTCAACCAAACAAGTGTGTTTGTTTTTGATTATTTAAAAAGAACTGGCTCATAAGCATCATTTGTTTGGGATTTAATTGGACTACAGAGGTTGCACTGTATGGTTTTAATTTACTAAAATCAATCTCATAATAGTAATTCAATCAGGAATCAGACTACAGAACACTGGTGTATTGTTTGGATAAATTAAAAGAACAGACTCATAGAGTAACAGTAATTTGTTTGGAATCGGTTGGACTACAAGTCACGCTGTATGGTTCTGAGACACAACAAAGGACTGACTCATACATAAGAGTCATCCATTCGGGAATCTAACTACACTGGTTGTGCTGTAAGGTTCTGAATCAGAAAAAGAACTGTCTCATAAGAGTCATTCATTAAGGTGTTACTGGACTGTATTCAGTTGAGGTACACTTCCTTTCAAAATTTTGGGGTCAGTAAGATTTTTTTATTTTTTTTTTTAAGAAATGTAATAATACATTGATGCATTAAATTGATAAAATGTGACAGTAAAGATAATGTTACAAAATATTTCTATTTCAAACATTTTATTCATCAAAAAATGTAAAAAATAAATAAATAAATCTGAGTTTCCACAAAAATATTGAGAGGCACAAATTTTCAAAAGTGACAATAATGAGAAATGTTTCTTGAGCACCAAATCAGCATATTAAAATTATTTCTGAAGGACCATGTGATACTGAAGACTGAAGTAATAGCTGCTAAAAAAAACAGCTTT